ATTACAGAGATCACTCTGGGACCACAGGGATCACTCTGGGATCACAGGGATCACTCTGGGATCACGCAGACCCCTCTGGGATCACAAGGACCCCTCTGGGATCATGTGCACCCCTCTGGGATCACAGGGATCACTCTGGGATCACACGGGCCCCTCTGGGATCATAGGGACACCTCTGGGATCACAGGAATCACTCTGGGATCACAGGGATCACTCTGAGATCATGGGGACACCTCTGGGATCACAGGGACCCCTCTGGGACCACAGGGATCACTCTGGGATCACACGGGCCCCTCTGAGATCATAGGGACCGCTCTGGGACCACAGGAATCACTCTGGGATCATGGGGACCCTTTGGGATCACAGGGATCACTCTGGGATCATGGGGACACCTCTGGGATCACAGGAATCACTCTGGGATCATGGAGACCTCTTTGGAATCACGGGGACCCCTCTGGGATCACAGCAACCTTTCAGGCTGTTCCAGTGCTCCTTCTATCCCAAGATTTGGCTCCTGACAAGACACACGGATCAAGACACACTCTTTGCTCCGGAGCTGTAACACCTTCCTCCCCTGCATTTCCCAGTAACTAACCCCTCATGCCCATAGAGAATTCCAGGTTATTTATCTCCCTCTCCTCAGGACTATTCCCATCTGGTTTTCCACCATGACCTTCCACAGGCTCTTTATTACCCTGTTCTGTGGAAGTTCTTTCCCCCTCTTGGCCGGTGGCCCCGGGTTGCTCTTGCTCCAAAGGAATTCACTGCCCAACGTCCAAGGTTCGGTTGAAATGACATCATTCCTGAGGTGCTATTTAGAATTATTGCTCTCCAGGCCTCCTCCAGGTCCCTTTTGCAATCCCTTCTTCCAGTGGTGCCAGGAGAGTGGCCTAAAATCCCAGTCATTTCCATCTCAGGAGCTTCCCAGAGCACCTTTGCTCTGCCCTCACCCTACGGCTGAAAAATAAAAAGAAATAAAATTAAAAAAAAAAAGGGATCCAGTTCAACATTTCATCTTTCTTAATAAACACTGGCTAATAACAACTACAGGAAAAATAATCCCGTCTTCTGGGCCTCCTCCAGATGACATAAAGCTCATGGATTTCTGGACCAGGCTCGAGAAACAGTTTGCAAACTTCTGTTTGATCATAAATCAAGGCCAGTAATGACCTTTTTTTTTCTTTTTTTTTTTTTTGGTGAAAACAGCCCCAGTTTGCTGTTCCCAGACTCCACCACGGGCCTGGAATTCCAGCAGGCTCCACTTCCATCAGGGCACCTGTGGCAGCTCCTGGAAGGTGAATCCTGACTGGCACCACTTTTTAGGGGTTCTATGTGACCCTGGACAGGTTCCTTAT